AAAATAAAGAAAAACAAAAGTTTAATTCAGAAATCAAACATCAAGTCAAGATTTAATTGATCAATCTCATATTTTAAAGGGGACCTGCCATCAAAATTTCATACCCATTTTTATCATTTTTTCATAATCCTTGATGTCCTCTGATCATGTTTGCAACATAATTTTAGCTGAAAAGTTATTTGATGGTTTGTTTTTAGTATGCCTAAAAAACCTTACAGGAAAACTAACTGATTTTGGCTCATTAACATTTATGGTAATGAGCTTTGCTCTGATTGGATCGCTGCTGTGAAGCCTGCTGTGCTCTGATTGGCTCAGGATTTCAGTTTATCCATTTTGCTAATGTGTGCGAAAGAAAGGTGCCCAGATGTCTGTAATGACATCCGGGGATATTCGGTGCGGCGGCAAGGAGGGTGCAGGGGCTGCAGAGGCTGTGTGATCGCAGACAAAATCTCGGTACTATTTAGTATCAGTGTATGCCCCTCGTAATAACCTCCGTAAGAACTGTTGTTCAGGACTGCTTACTTGTGCTTCCTACCAATTCAGCTACTGTAATAACTGTTGTTCGAGCCCACACGCAACATTTTTGCTCTCATTCATGAAACGCTTAAATCAGGGACATTTTGGGGGCAGCTTTTGCCGGGGACAGGTCATCCAATTCAGGGACAGTCCCCGGAAATCGGGGACGTCTGGTCACCTTATGCTAAAGGCTAAAAATGGCAGGTATTAAACCATATATTTCAGACCCCGAGTCCGAAGAGGGGGTGGAAGTTGAAGAAGAAGAAGAAGCCAGAGATCTCCAGCGGTGTTTTCTCATTCATTCTGCCCAGCTTTAAGTTCATTTTCCCGGCAGTGAACCCAAGGAAACACCGGTCATTTGGAAGAGACCCATAGCAGATACAGTGGTAGCTGGGTCTCGCTCTGGCTGGAGAGTGATGTAGACTGTGAATGAGTACGAGAACGAGAGAGTGGGCGCGGCTCACCAAGGACGCGCTTGTGAATAATAATGAGCAAGGTCAGTGTGACGTCAAAAGGACCTGCTTTTTCAATTTGCCTGGTTTCCCCGTTCCTTTATTTTAAACCTTTACAGAATGCAAACAACATAACGGTTTGTTTTCACATTTACAACATAAGACGAACATAATATGGACCTTATCTGACACAAAAACACACAAACTTACATTTTTGATGGCAGGTCCCCTTTAAGCTTTCAGGGACTCCACTTCTGGAAGAACACTAACAGACACAAACCTAGAAAAATAATGATCTTTTTATTACAGGGTCATTCCATGTCAATTCAACCAAGAATCGCCACTCACGTCACAGATTTTGATGAAATTTGGTGGAGTGATTGGCCTTAAGGAGAAACTGTCAGAGCTCAAATATTTTTGTTCAAAGCCATCTAATTAGTGAGATAGGGGCTAATAAATTTTTGGCTAACTAGCATGACATGCGTTACAAAAGTGTTCATATCTCTGGAAGTATGGCACCTAGAGAGCTGATTCGGGTGTCATTTTAAAGCTCTCTTCAAGTTCTTTTTGTTCATAACATTTTTTCCCAAATTGGACCAGAAAAAAATTATAAAAGACCAAAAACTTTAATTGGAAATAGCAAAAAACGTGCGTCCTTCAATTTTCTTCATATTCTCACTTAAGAAAGACTATCATGTCCAATAGCATCCCTGCAAGTTTCAGGATGGGCATTCCATAACTTTTTGAGTAATCAGTCAAAATGCGTGGTACGTTAGGTGGAAAATCGCCATATTTGGCACATTATACAGGAAACGTTGAAAGGGCTCAGGATAAATAGCCTGGAATACTTCACAGGGAAACCTGCAACAAAATTTCAGGGTGCGTAGGTAGAAGTTATTTGTCAACCCTAGGATCCAGGACATGCAGGTATGCCCAAATGATTCTCCCATGAAGCTAAGATCATTCATATTCTGGATATAGGTGCAAATAGAAATAAAATGCAATGGAAAACTGAGCAAAAATAAGCTATTCTAGCCATTTTTCATGTAAATATGGGATAACATACAAATGAAAAAACTCAAAAAAAGCATTTTGCACTATGAGAAAGTAATATTTTAGACAAGCAGGCAAGTGGGGCTGACTCCAGATGAGGTCAGGACTGTTTAATGTGCCAAATATGGCGATTTTCCAGACTAAGAAAAGTAGTAAGAGCTAAGAGAAAACAAAGAAAGAGGAACACAGAAGGGTGTGGACAGTGAGTGAAGAAGCGGGTGTAAGAGAGTTAGGGAGCGTGAGCAACCCCACTTTCTAGTTTTATCTTCTCACACTGGGAGTTTCTCTGGTGTGTGTGTGTGTGTGTGTGAGGAGAAAGAGAAAGGGTTGTGGGGTCTCCGTCTGCAGAGGAGACCTCTTGGATCTCTAATTATTTGATCTAACTTATACTTTTGGCTGTTAAAAGAGTCAGATCTGATACTCACTCACTATGATTAATATCATTGAATACTTGGTTTCATGAAAAATGATTTGATACTAAACACATATGAATGAAATGTAGGGTCTTATCAAACATTCTCATTATGTTTTAAGTATCATAATGAACATGCTAAATTACTCTGAAATGAAACTGATAGTAACACATAGAAACTGTGAACAACAAAAGAGTAAACACATGTGAATGAACTTCATCATGATTAATAATGGATTCTAAATACTGACATTCAGATTATTCAGTGACATTATTACCACCTAATGGTTAAAAATACTGAATAAATGATTAAAATATAAACTAAACATTTCTAAACCATCCATCACAACATACATGCATCAGACTAGATATACACACTCCTGAATTTGTATTAAATATTCAAACGTAGTGGCGTGGTCTGATTTCATAAGTCTGAGACTCTTACAGTCTATCTCAGTCCATTACAGTTTGAGACTAATACATCCTATCTTCATCTATTATAGTTTGATTCTATAACAGTCTGAGACTATTACAGTCTATAACAGTCTGAGTTCATGACAGCCTGTGTCTATAACAGTCTGACTTTATAACAGTCTATGATGGTCTTAGTCTGTAACAGTCTTATTCTATAACAGTCTGAGACTTTATACCAGAGTACAAAGGGTTCCATCTTCCAGATTATGACTGGTAGATGTGGGCCTGAATACCGAAAAAGAAGGAGCTTTGACCCCTAGATTATCCTAAACAGCAGATTCAAATACGTTATCACAGTGTGAGGCCTTGATTTAGGGAAAGGGTGGTTTATTGCATGGCGACAGAGTCTGTGGAGGAAGGACATGACATCTAAATATGCCTAAATATCTACAGTGTGATTTTTCAGACATGCTGCAGGACATAGTGTTAGTGACCTTCTCTGTGATGACAGTTTTTACATTCAGGGGTGTAGCACCAAATTCTGGGCCCTGTACACTCCCAATGTCAGTGGGCCCCTATCCATGCCAGTGCATGAGGCAAATTCACCAGCCGCCACTGAGAGCAGCACAGCCCGGCACAAAGCCAATTTGGTATTGTTGTGGACTGAGGCACTCTGTGATGCCCACCATTGGCGCAGAAATTGCGCTGAAAGATTGCCAATTCAAACCTGGTCAGCTTTCAGCGCAGCTGGTCAAGTGGTTATTTGGTAGACCAGCACAGCAGGGTGCACATGTTACTAATGCCTCACATGTAGGTTTCCACAGTGTCAGACACATTTCAATGGAAGAAATCATTATCAAAAACAACCACTATTTAGTACAATTTCCTGAGTCAGCACATACATTTATATCGATATAATCTGATCTATATCCTATCTGATGAGCACATTTGGCACACTCAACCTGACCAAATGAACACAGCTGAAACCGCATTAAATTAAATAACCAATTAATAGTTATACATGATTGAGTTATTAATGAGTTATTTATTTTGAACAAAACAATGAAAGACACTCATTCAGAATAACCTGTTTATGTAATGTTTTCACATCCTTAAATTCTGTGAATATTTAATCTCTGTGAAGGCCTACATGCTTATATAATAATATCCAATTGCATGAGCCAAGTTTATTTCACATGCAAACATTAACAGATGAAAACGCCAGGCCACGGAGTGTGATGCATCCTTTACACACCTATTTTAATGCCATTAGGCATGACATTTGTTTATGTTGTGATCTGTGCACACAACCTACCTTTGTCACATGAGGTTTAAATATAGGGAACTTGATGTGAGTGTCTTTATTTGTGGAAAAGGATGTTTGTCTTACCCGTGGACCTAACCTTGCACACATCAAATCCCTCTGCATTTATTTGAGAGAGTGTGGCAGACGCAACGTCCTCCACAGCACTTAATGCAACACTTGTTGAGCGGCTGCCTCCGGTCACCACCGTCTGGTTATGCTGTCTTCAGCCACTGTCTTCAGACTACTTCACAAAATTAGCAATATGCCTAGCCAGTGGTGGATTTAAAGGTGAGGACAGGACCTTGTGTAATTGGTGGAAATTTGACTCGGCTGTGTTAAACCCACTCTACGCCTTCCCCCTTCCATCTTTTCTACTTGCACCACCAGGAGGAGCTGAGATAGAGGAGGGTTGTACTTGCACCGCTCACCAAAATACCAAAGTGTGCCTGGGCATGCTCCACATTGCACCGGCGAGGCGGACCTAAATTCGGCCATGTCTGCACCATGCTGTTAGTAAGGAACTCAGATTATAAACTGATATGAAATATGAAATATATCACTCTTTCCTGGATGGTCTTCGGAGTCAGGTGTGCTCTCTTTTCTGATCAGTGATCCAGCTATAACAGCTGAAGTATTTTTACAATTAACCATTGTCATTTCTGCGTGTGAGGTAAAACAGCTTCTGAAACATTAAAACCAGGACTACAAAGCCAGTGATCTAAACCTGGACATATCCAACAGACTGTAAACACCTAATTCTGTCAGCAGTGGATCCTGAAATGCAGAATCTGTGTGATTTCTTCCTGTTTGGTTCACACCTAGGTAACATGACTCCACATTTTAGCCTCAGCAATTTAAGGAAAAGATTTATTCACTGAAAGAGCAAACGTGCAAAACATTTTTAGCCTCCGAGCAGAAATCTGTCAAACATCTGAAAACACACGTCCGAACACTACTCCTTTTCCTCTCCTCCCTTTCTGTCTCTTGATCTGGGATGTGGCGTTCCCATCCAAATATTTCCAGAAGAGCAGATGAAGAAAGGAGTTGGGTGGCGGGATCAGCTGGCCTGTGATCTCCTGTGTGAGCCAAGCTGTCTGATTGGCTGGAGGGCTGCAGGGCCATCTTGCCTCCCTGGCAGGCAAGTGGCTTAAGCAGTTTGGTGAAGGAGGTGTGTGTGTGTGTGTGTGTGTGTGTGTGTGTGTGTGTGTGTGTGTGTGTGTGTGTGTGTGTGTGTGTGTGTGTGTGTGTGTGTGCCTGCGTGCGTGCGTGTGTGTGTGATTGCATTGTAGCATTTGTGTGTTTGTGTGTGTGCATGTGTTAATCCGCAGGAGACAAATCATTTTTAAGACCTAAAAATAACAGGAAAATGTATTTAAAAAGCCTGACAGAACAAATATTAAATTAATGTTCAATTTATATTCAAATGCTTTACATCAGTGCATAAGAGACATAAAATAACTGGTTATTTAAATTCACTTATTATTATTATTATTATTATTATTATTATTATTATTGTTATTATTTTTACTCTTGATTTCAATAGGTCCCAAACTTTAAACCACAGAACCAACACCCCATGACTAACAATACCAACAACTAACCATACCACCATCTTGCATCACCATGTTCTTACAGCACCTCCAGCTTTCAACACCACCAACTCATAACACCATCAACTAACCAAGTCTGATGGCGCTGATGCAGACACGTGTTTCCTGCTGATGGAGGTCAGAAAGGAGCAGCAGGTGGTGTAGAGCTGCAGCAGGAACACAAACACACACATGTATGCACTCACACACACACACACACACACACACACACACACACACACACACTCGGGCTGTAGTGTTAAATGAAGGTCCTTTGTGTTATTGCTGACATTATGTTTTATTCCCTGCCCCCCCACCTGGAGCACCTTTAATGATGATACACTCACACTCACAGGGGGCACAGTTCAGATGGATAGATAATCACCTGTACTTGTAGCATAATATCTGCTAATGTTAGAACAGCAGAGGTTTGACCTCCATCAGATTCATCCTCAGACGTCTCTACCTTCACCTGAGAACAGGTGGGACACTGTTTGGCTCTGTTAGAATGCTTTTATTGTGAAAACACAGATTTTTAGATTAAAACAAATGGGGAATTTGTTTGTGTGACACCTGTGGCCTTACGCAGGTCAGACACCCCTCAAAGAGACCACAGAGAAGTGCGCCCTTCATCATAAAGACCTGAGAGTGTCGTGCATGTTCACACACAGCCTCTCTTGTTATGATGACCTTTTAAAATCACAGTCCAGCTTGTTTTCATTTCTGCATGTTTATGATAATGTGAACAGATCTTACTCTGATGCCGAGAACCCACAGGATGTGTGTGTGCCATGTCCTCTCTGCAGTTTCATTATGGTGAAATTACTTACTAATAATTGTCATTTAAACAACCTCACCTCAAAAACCCTTTAACGAAACGGACTGTGGACAATGTCCGGTTACTGTCATGGCTGTGAGTGGCTATTAGATTCTTCCCATTCCGTTCCTCTCATAGTATGTTATTGTTATTAAGGTCGATAAGACACATTTTTCTTTAACTCAAGTATCTTTTCTTTTGTTTTTGCCATTTTAAGGTCTAGATAATTGTCTCCATACCATTTAACAAACTCAGACAGGGCCCTGCCATGCACTGATTCAGGGCTCTGAAGGAGAGACTAGAGAACAGTGTCATCTAAAAGCTTGGCAAGATACCTGCCCAGCTGGCTGGGCAGGCAAGTGTCTGTATACATGATATACAGAAGGGGCGAGAGAACACAGTCCTGGGGTGAACTAGTGCTGTAAATGACACAGTCAGACAATTGGCCATTCACAAAAACCTGCTGAACTCGTTCGTTAAAAAACTTAAAAGCAACAATAAAATCTGCTCTGAGAGGCTAAAATAAGATGCTTGACATTCAGTTAAAGTGTGTGGTTGCATGTCATCAAAAGCAGAAGAAAAATTTGCAAAAACAAATCTGACATGGGACCAGCATTTTTCTAAGTGCTTGTAAATTTTGTCCAGTATGAAAATCTTGGCATCATCTACCCCTTTTCCTTCCTGGTATGCAAACTACAATGGCTCAATCCTGCCATTAAAAAAGCCAACATCCCACTGAGCTGTTCAGCGCTTTGGTGCAATGTTCTCCCAGAGATGGAGTCGGGGCCTGAAGCTTTACAGACATTCACCCTTCTAAGATGTTGATACTTTCCTGAGGTCATTAATCTTATTATGTTCAAGAATATTTTCACACAGGTCTGTCAAACCTCAAATTTCAAACCTACAAAAGAATTAATTAAAAGCACTAGGAAGATCCCTGCCATATATCCCATTTCTACTGATAAGCTGTTTGATCTCACAGTTGGAATAGTTGATTGATGCCATGGATTTAATGCCCTTCCTGGCTACTCTAAGATCATCCTAAGCAAACTGGTTTTCAATCTTCTTTTTTTTAATTGATTTTTTCTTTCTTAATTTTATTCTTAACTTCCTGTAAAACAGCCTTTCTTTCTGAAAGATCACCTGAGAAAAAGATTTGTTTCCTTTTGTTGATTACAGATTTAGGATCCTTCTTTATCCAGGGTTTGTTGTTTAGGAACTTGATCACCTTTTTTGTCCTAATATATTTTCTCTTTCTAGGCACGACTTCCTTGGACAGTGTGGTGTCTCAGGGGTGCGTGTGTGTGTGTGTGTGTGTGTGTGGGGGGGGGGGGGGGGGGGGGGGCATGCACTTGTGGCAGATGCTGTCTCTTCTGACAGGTGATAAAGTCTGAAAAGTCGACCTGGAGCTCTGCAGGCAGGTGTGGAAGAGACTTCCAGGAATAGACGGACCCTTCACCAGTCTCCTCACACTATAACCCCACCGCCATCGCCCCACCCCCACCCAGTCACAATCAGCACAATCCTCAGACAGAAGTGGGTGTCACCTTGGGTTTGGGTAATTTTTCCTGCTGCAGTGTTAGTTTGGGTTTCAGAGTTGGGCTTTGGTTTCTGATTTTTATAAATCATTACGTCTGACACAGGCCTCTGAGTTTGAAATTACAGGGAATTCAGTCTTGACCAGCTGTGTGAATATGATTATATTGGCGGAGTTTTGGTGGAGACTGGTAACTGTCTGTTTCATCAAAATGATAGCTTTTTTGTCTCCCCTGAATCTATAAATCAGTTTGATCCCCGATAACCTGGTTAAAATGAAAAGTTTGGCCTATGTGCTGAACTTAGAAAAAAAACAATGAGATTGTTAAAATAAGCAGCATTTTTATTGTTGTTTGTAAAATTGTGTTTATAGTTTGCATGACCACAATTCTTTTCATATCCACCACACATTATTTACCCCAAACTGGGCAAAGAAATCTGAATGGGACCAAGACACTTTCCTGAGGAACACCAGAGTCAGTGAAAGTGTTGCTGAAATCTTCAACCAAAACTGTCTCATAGTTACAAACACTGGGTCGGAAGAACTGAGCGTTACTATAAGGGGTGTCCAGGGTGTCTGCTGCAGTCCTCTGTCTTGTTCATGGTCCACTTAAAAACCCAGTCTTGATTGTGTATAATACGAACTCCTCCTGAGGTCACACGAAAAGTCATTTTGATCAATCTCAATAAATCAATCAATCCTTATTTATATAGCACTGTTCATACAGTGGAGTAGCACAAAGCTTTACACAGAAGAATACAAAAGAAAGTTACTTATTTGATGTCGGTTCTCAGCGGCACTCTTGGAATGGATGGGCTGAAGTTTTGTGGGTACCAGACCGGATGCTGAAGGTTCGGCAAGGAGTTCTCCGCTGTGAATGGGTCTCAGGCTTCCAGACCAGGTCAGCACCGTTAGATACTTCAGTTCTCTTGGCCTCTCGGAACCGGGTGGCAAATGCAGCTTGGCAGATGATGCTGGTCGGTCCTCCGGGCATTCAGGATTAGCTTTACTGCAGACTGATTCGCGCCAATAAGTTAAGAAAATAAGTTCACTGGCCAGCCGATATTATCTTCAGGAGTCAAACAAAATAAAAGACTTAGACTGAGGTTCTCTATGCACGCAGCTAATTACTGATGCTTTAAAGAAACTTGGGCATGGCTTCATCCAAGTTTCTGGAAAAGTCTGAAAACTTAAGGCAAATAACAACAACACAGGGAAAAATTACAAGATGATGGACGGAGACAAAAACGCCAGCGAAGGGAAAAACAACAAGAGTCCAAAAACACAAGATAGGAAAAAACACAACAGAGAGAGAGAGAGGCAAAAGCTCAGCTATCTAAGCAGTTCACGTGGGGCGCAAACCAAAAGAGGGGGGCACTGCACTCTACGTTCACCGTGCAGGCCCATCGGCTGGCAAGTGAATTAAATCTAACTTGCGATATTAAAAAGCGAGCTGGATCTAATTTATTCACTCAATATGATTAAAGCCGTTTACAAAATCACATACAATCACGTTTCACTTCATTGTTTCTTATGAGCAGATGCATCAAACCATAACATTTAACATAAAGTAAACTTTGATCAGCCGTTTTCTTGATAATCTATAGAAAAGGGATAGAAAACCAAATAATGTTTTCGTACAGAAACACCATCAACCATAAGAAACACATACGAGATAATACTTAATAATATAACCTTGTCAATCAATGCTTAGTAGTTTTCAGTCATTCTCTTCCTTCTGCACCTAGAGAGAATCACCAGAAAAAACACAGTCACTCAGAGAATTTATGGCAGGGGTCTGTTTCAGGGATTGGCACCAAAATGCAGCCTTGGTTAGAGTTTCTCATGATCTTTTGGGTCAATCCTTAAGCTGAGGTGTCAGGTATGAGCTATCCCAGCCAAGGTGAGAGGCTAAATGTTTATTCGGTCTGGGGGTCCTGTCGTTGATAAGCAACTTGGGTGTAAATGTTACTCCCATCTCCTCTTCTAATCAGGGTAGCCTGCATTCCTTAGTGGGTGAATTAAAAGTGGAAAAGCAGAAACCAGTCGTCTCCGTTACACTTTAGGGGCTCTATTTCCATTCCTCGCCAGGGGCGTGATGTAGGCGCGGTTTAAGTCAGGTCCGCCCTGCTGACAAGACGTGCCCAAGCACATTTTGGTATTTAGGTGAGCGGCGCAGCCCGGCGTAAGTATCCCCCCTCCCTAACTCAGCTCCTCCTAGCGGCGTAAGTCGTAGTGAGGGAGGAGAGAAGGCGTGGACTAGTTTAACACAGCCGAGACCTGTTTTTGCCAATCAGATCAGCTGGTCTCCTCACCTTTACATTTGCCACCGGCGAGGCATATTACAATTTTTGTGAAGTAGTCAAAGAGATCAAGAGATGGCTGAAGACAACAATGCCACATGATGGCGAAAGAAGGCAGCCTCTCAACAAGTGTCACTTTAAGTGCTGCAGAGGGCGTCTCACTGTCTCATATAAGCGCAGATGGATTTAGTGTGTGTAATGTTGGACCTACTGGTAAGACAAAAATCCTTTTCCACATATAAAGACACTCACATAAAGTTGCATATATTTAGACCACACATGACAAAGATGGGTTGTGCGCACAGATCACAACATAAATTCCAATAATGGCATTAAAATCTGAACCATTTGTGCGTAAATGACACATCACGCTCCATGGCTTGGCTCTTTCTTTCAGGTCATTTTTTCTTATAATTTTGCAAAACTTTTATGATAACCTTTCAGCATATTGAATTTGAAATGATCAGAGAAGAGATCACACTTCTGCCTCTCCTCTTGGCTTTGTAAGCAGCCTTGAGAAAATCTGCATTGTGATGGTAGGTGTCAGCCAATCATGGGCCAGTTGAGAAAGTCTATGGGCTCTATTTTTTGTGCCCGCCAGTGACGTGGTGGAGGGTGGCGGCGCCCGAGCAGTGGTATTTTCATCTGTCCCATTGACTTCAATGCAAAGTTTTTTTTGCAACTTACGTTGCAAAGATTTATAAACAATGGACAGAGACAAACCACACCGAACACTGTCAAACCACACATTTTGATACAAATTTTTCCCCACAACTCTTCAATGCTGTGGGACTAGTAGCAAATCAAAATTTATCCAGAAGAGGTATAAGAAAAAATTTACAAAGAACAGTGCATCTGTGCTTTTGCCCCGTGGTCCTAAATACTAAAAGATATGTCTGGGATAAAAACTAGAGAGAGATAAAAGCTTATGCAAAGTTAATGATAAAAATGTAAAGATCGGATGGAAGAGATAGGTATTAAGTTGGCATTTAAAATCATTAAGACTAGGTGCAGCCTTCAGGTCTTCAGCTAAGCTGTTCCATAGACGGGGGCCATAATAATAAAAAGATGCCTCACCATATGTTTAGTTAGTTTTGGTTTAATTTCAACTTTAGGTACCATTAACTGAGAACTTCCTGAAGACCTGAGGGCTCTGCTGGGCTCATAAGGTAAAAGCAGATCAGATAATTAAGATGGGTCAAAGCCATTAAGAGCACTAAAAAACAGTAAAGCAACCTTAAAATCTATTCTAAGAGTGATGGGTAGCCAAAAATGAAAACTGTGGTCTGTCTGTCAAGTAGTTTGTTATACAGGAGATGATGGATGAGTCCACACTCAACAGTTGTAGCTTTACTTCCAGTCGTTGTGGCTTGATGGTGTTAAATGCAATTTTCACAGTGCAGTCGTTTCTCTCCAAAGGTGAATGAGCCTGCTATAGCAGGTAGATGATAGCATTGTCCACTCCCAGATGTGGCTGGAAGGCAAACTGCAGAGGATCAAGGGATGTCTTCACCTGCAGCCTGATGTAGGCCAAAACGAGCCTCTCTAGCACCTTCATGACATTGGATATGAGAGCTACTGGTCGATAGTCCTTTAGATGCAATGGCGACAACTTCTTAGGAACTAGAACCAAACAGGAGGTCTTCCACAGCCTCGGTATCCTCTCCTGGCTCAGTCTCAGGTTGAACAGATACTGCAGAATCACAGATAGCTGGGTGGTGTAGGTCTTATGAACCCTTTGACTGTTGCCGTCAGGTCCTGGATCAGTTGTTGAAGTTGGGGGGTTGGAACAATTTGCACCAGAGAGGGATGTGAACTGCCCCGTTGCAGAGCCAGAGTCAAAGGTGTCCACCATTGGGGGAGGGGTTCAGATGAAGACTGGGAGGTATGAGGAAAGGGGTTGTTGTTGTGATGCGGGACAGGGGAGGTAGCTGACGACAGTGAACTATAGCGATTGAAGAACAGGTTCAGCTTGTTCGCCCACTCCAGGCTGCCTGATTGCAACACCTCTCTCTCCCTTCCATCCAGTGATGTCCCTTACATTGTTCATCCGGAGTTTGGCCTCCAGCTTCCTCCTGTATGTGTCCTTACATTCTCTCAGCTTCTCCCTCAGATCGTGCTTTACCCTCTTTAGTCCTCCTTGTTTTATTTGGAAAACAGTGTACAGTCTTGGCCGGTAGAATAGTGTTGTCACAGAATTTAATGCATTCTGTGAAACAGTCGGTTATGCGGTTGATGTTCTTACCATGTGGCTTGCAGAGTGCATCCCACTAGGGGAACTTCAAGCAGTCCCGAAGTGCCTTGGTACCATTCTGAGTAGGGCTGGGTATCGTTTGGATTTTAGGGCCAGTACCAGATAAGCACATTCAACTATAATCCATAAACGTAAGGTAACAACCGAGACCTAATGGTGCTGTGACACACGATTGAGTTGACAGTGAAAATACTGTTACGGCTGTGTGTTTGTTTTGCATGTGTTTTTCCCCTTTTGTCTCTCCATAGCTGCCCAGGTGAAAACACTTGAGTGACAATCAGACTCACCTGGTGCTGGGAGTCTAAAAGCCCAGAGCTGCCTGCAGTCTGGAGAGGCATTTGGTGGGGAGCTGCTGCCCTGCTGCCTCTCATTTGTGTTGTGGGTGCTTTGTGTTTAGTTTGCAATTTTGTTGTTTTTTCACAATAAATCACGTGTTAAACTTTTGAAGGTGTTTTGGTTAATTTGATGGGTAAAAAGTTGAGGATAGTTGTTAGCCCCATAGGGCCGCCTTCAGGTGGGGCGTAACAAATGGGGGCTCGTCCGGGATCGATCATCCATGAGGTTCTTTGAAGTTGTTTTTTTTCCTTTCGTAACTAGTGATCATAGTTTGGGTTTGTTAGTCTTCTGTTTCTGTCACGATCATTAGTAGTTGCTTTTATTTGTAACTTCTGAGCACCCTGATTATTTAGTCGCCGGGCAGGGAAGAGCTTGCCACTTTTTTATTTTGCCTTTCTTATTTTTGGTGGTAATCCTGAGGAGGGGGCACACTTAGGTGATGCCTCGAGCTCGGCAAGCCACTGAAGACTAGTTAGGTAAGTCAGACATCTTAAGCAGGTAGGGGTTGGGGTGACTCATTTTGCTCTGAAATTGTTTTGTTCTATAGTACTGTTTTTGTTTTTGTGTGTTTCAGAAGACTACCCATTTTTGCTTGGTCACTCTGGGTGATAACAATTAGGATTTTGTGTGCAGTAACTTGTGTTGTGTGACCATTCGTTGGTGGTAACTGCTCTCCACATTTGGTGGGTCACGTGTGAGTTGCATCTTAGGTGTAAGGTGGCAACAGTTGTGTAGTAGTGACTACTGTGTGACCATTTTGTGTAGTGGTTTGCAGTCCACATTTGGTGGGTCACTTGTGTGTTACTGTTTCGTATACCTAATTGTATGTTCCGTTCGTTTGGCTTGTTGCCAGCCTTCTCACAGTAACTTGTGTGTCTTTTGAAGACTTGTGTCCATTTGTGTTGTGGTGGTGGCAGTCACCTTTTGTTGGATCTCTGTGTGCTGTTTGTGAATGACAGCAGTGTTGTAGTTTTACTACTTTTGTTGATCCGTTTGTGTGTGACTGCTCACTCCACTTTAGTGTTGGACATCTGTTACTGTGTGTGGTATTGGCAAATTTAGTGTTTTGCTCTTTGTGTTTGTGTTAACCTCATGGTAGTAGCCATTTTGCTTTGTGGGAGTGGCACCCACTTAATTGGCTGCTTTTGTGATGGATGCTCTTGAATTTGGTTGCAGCATCTTCCTTGGCCCTAATTTAAGATTGTATTCCTCACGACCCATTTAGCACCTTTTTGTCAGCAGTGGTTGTCTTCAGTTTTGGTGAACAGTTAAGGTTTTTTTTTAAGCTTGTGCAGTGGTGTGTGTTTTGTGACAAACAGCCTTGGTGAGTAACACCCATTTAGTTAGTTCTTGTGTTAACATAGTTGACGCAATGCACTTTAATTCAATGAATAAATGTTTGTATTTGGGATTTACGGTGTGCAATTGTGGTGTTTATTTTTGCAGTACAAATGATTTATTCATTGTTTTAAGGGTGGGGGTGTTACGGCTGTGTGTTTGTTTTGCATGTGTTTTTCCCCTTTTGTCTCTCCATAGCTGCCCAGGTGAAATCACTTGAGTGACAATCAGACTCACCTGGTGCTGGGAGTCTAAAAGCCCAGAGCTGCCTGCAGTCTGGAGAGGCATTTGGTGGGGAGCTGCTGCCCTGCTGCCTCTCATTTGTGTCGTGGGTGCTTTGTGTTTAGTTTGCAATTTTGTTGTTTTTTCACAATAAATCACGTGTTAAACTTTTGAAGGTGTTTTGGTTAATTTGATGGGTAAAAAGTTGAGGATAGTTGTTAGCCCCATAGGGCCGCCTTCAGGTGGGGCGTAACAATACATATATGTTGTATCGGAACAGGTTAGCTTACAAGCTAAAGTTACTTAGCACAGATGAAAGTTAAAACAAAGACGTTTAGCAAACTGTTAAAGCACACAAACCATCATCATATGAGAAATCCAATGCTATGACTCTCCACAAGTTGTCCTTCAGGTCGTTATCTTTGTAATGTTTGTGTGTTTTATCAAAAAGCACTCTGTTCTCCAACACGTAAACACATGGTCAGCCATGTCAGATATACTGGTGAATCTCACGGTGCAACAACAAGCACTCTGATTGGTCAGAAGTGTACACACAGTATGTGAAACTTGAGAAAAATCGACCATGATCCGAAAAAATAAATGCATCAATATCGCAGGACGGGAAGACGTCGCTGATGTGAACACTAGTCAGTACCGGCGCACCCATAACGCTTGGTACGCTCAGAGCGTAGGGCCCCACACGGCCCATTACGTCACCGACGTTAAGGGTAAAAAAAAAAAAACTAAGAAGCGCACGCGTTCCCTGCATAGCTTGCAGCAGCAGAGCATCACAAGATGAAGCGGAATTATCCATCAGGGCATGAGAAAAGAAGGAAAAGAGCTCATGATAAGGAATTAAGCGAACAGCAGTCAGGTAGGCAAGGCAACGTAATCCCTCTCTGCTTTTGGGTTACCTATTGTACGGCGGAGTATAAGTGCCACCATGGACTCTATGGTGGACTTTACTTTATGCTGCTCGGAGCCGCTCCGCTGACGGCGCCCTTGTGTAGATGCTGTTACTGAGGAGGAGGTGGAGCAATTATTTCTCAGGCTCCCATCATCACCATCACTCTGCCAATCATATCAAAATCATTTGTTCGTTTGTTGTTTGCACATTAAATTTGATTTAATTCAGTCAGATTTTGTCTGTCTGGTCTTGGGGTGGGGGGGCTTGATTTTAGACTTGAGACTTGATTTTAGTTAGGAGAGCCCCTTGGCATATTTTTGCCTAGGGCCCAATGGAGGTCTGAACCAGCTCTGACGCTAGTATTGACAGTATACAGTAGTGGTGTGTCGGTCTTGAACGAACGGATCAAAAGAACTAGTTCTTTTTGATGAACGAAATGAACTAGTTCTCCCCCCCTAAATGACCCGTTCAATCCGTTCAGTTCTTTTGATTGGCTGAAGAGGGACTGCTTGCCTGTCTTATCCTATCGTCGCGCCTCGTTCTGTGTGTGGGTGGGGCTTAGAGAAGCAGCAGCAGTACTACTGAGCTGACTGAAAGACCGGAATGACCGAGTTGACTGAAAGAACGGGTCAAATGAACGAAAGACCTAGTTGACTGAAAGAACGGGTCAAATGAACGAAAGACCTAGTTGACTGAAAGAACGGGTCAAATGAACGAAAGACTGAGTTGAACGAAAGACCGAGTGAACGAAAGATCCAGACGGATGAACGAGTTGAACGAAAGACCGAGTGAACGAAAGACCGAGTTGAACGAAAGATCCAGACGGATGAACAAGTTGAACGAAAGACCGAGTTGAACGAAAGACCCAGACCGATGAACGAGTTGAACGAAAGACCGAGTGAACGAAAGATCCAGACGGATGAACGGGTTGAACGAAAGACCCAGACGGATGAACGAGTTGAATGAGAGACCAAGTGAACGAAAGATCCAGACGGTGAACGAGTTGACTGAAAGACCGAGTTGACTCGCCACCGCACGAGGCCCGACAGCCGAGCCGGAGCGAGCGGGACAGTCACACACACACAAAGGCACACAGCTGCTGCAGCAGCCAGAGGCAGAGAGACAACTATTAATATGCATTTGCACTGTCTGTTGACATTTTGTACTTTTTATTATTGTTTTTAATGCACCTCAAAATAATAAAAAACCATTAAAAACCTTATATATAAGGTATATATATATATATTTTGTTACTCCTACTATAATTTTATATTACAAGTAGTGCAGTGCGATCGCAGCGTTGGACCGGGGTGGGAAGTGGAGAGTGCAGCGGTCACAGCGTCGGACCGCAGGGGGGGGGGGGACGACTGACTAATGACCGAAAAGAACGAAATGAACGGGTCTTTTTACTGAACGACCCGAAATGATCCGGTTCACTGAAATGACCGGTTTTGCCCACCACTAGTATACAGGTTCGAAAAAAAATATTGATGTCTGAAATAATCACACAAAAAAAATGATCCAGGTGTGTAAGGACCTTAAGGCTGATACTGCTCCACTGCATAATGTCACTCTGGGCCGAGAAAGAGATAATGAGCCGCAAGTCCTCTGCTACCTTTATTGCAGCAACTGCAGGCGCTGGGCAATCTGCAATTGGAGAGACACTCTCACACAGACACTCCCACTCACTCTAACAGGGACACTCCTACACAGGTACATCCACACAGGTACATCTTCACTTTCACATGCAGACACATCCACACAGATACTCACACTTTGACACTCATACGCTCTTGGACACTCACACACACATATCTGTAACAAGCACAGAGTTCTGATGATACTTGCCTCAGCACTGTAATCTTCAGAGCTACAATCCTGCAAATCTACTTTGTGACTTACATAGATGAGAGGAAATTAAATGTCTCTTTACATCAGTGGTCACAAACTGCCCCCACCCTCCAGCCTGCTTAAAACACAACACAAATAAGGTCAAAGGTTAGAGGATGCTCAGACAGATTAATGAAGACTTTAAGTTGGGGGC